GTACCCAGGCGCTTTCTAGCGGGTTCGCGAGCGACTGTAGCGACTTTGGTTCCGCGTTAGGTATCATGGGAAAGGCGAGGAAAAAACATCTTTCCCAGCGTCCTTTGTGTCACTTGAGACGCCTAGGAACGAGGCAGGATGAGGCGGGAACCAGAAATTCAAAGTGCAGGTGGCGATAGGCGTTGACAAAATGCCCCCTTCCCTCCCCCATTCTTGATGGACGCAGGTGTCTTTAAAACATGTTATACGGGCGTTGGAGTAATATTAGTATTTTACTTTATTATAGAAAGAAGATGTATCCCTAGTCAAAAGAAACTCCCACACCAAAGGATTCTGTTTATGTCATCGATAATATTGTTTCTCTTGTTCCTCTTCAGACATTGCTACACACAGAGGTAGAGAATTCATTCTTAGCTTTATCGCTCAGCATCCCCAGCCATCAGATAAACATGACCAAGGGAAGAACATGCTTCACATCACGACCTTCGAAAACACCAAAGTCAACGTTCACGTTCCTTCTCTAATCCAACAAGGGGATCAGCAGTTCTCTGTGAGCGCTCTGGGCGTTAAAGTGGTCACTTTACCAGGAAAAACACGTTTTGGTGAATTCACTGGAAAGGACACAAAGGGTATTCGTATCACAGTAAATAAACCGATATCCGTTTATGGATATGGAAGGATTCTCCTAGGGTCGCACCACATTGGTGAAGGCTTCCTTGGGTTACCTGTGGATGTACTCGGAAAGGAATACATTGTCCCAACGTACTCTCCTGTAGGAAGCTCTATTGTGCAGGTTGTAGCTCAAGAAGACAATACCGAGGTGTCTTTTATGTTGCGCCTACCGAGGGGTGGAAGGGTTCATTATGGAGATAGATATTTGTATAATGGCGATCTTCTTAACACGACTCTAAATGATCTGGAAGTGTTTCAAGTTCAGGGCGATAGTGATCTCAGTGGAACAGTAGTGACATCATCCAAACCTGTTGCTGTGTTTTCTGGGGATGACTGTACTGTGGTGCCAGATAACACATTCCCGTGTAATCACCTTGTAGGGCAAATCCCTCCGGTAAGCTTTTGGGGTAAGGAGTTTATTACCAACCCTACCCCTGACCATCTTGGTGGAGATGAATTTCATATCATTGCATCAAAAGATACCACAGACGTTAACGTGGACCGGCAGAAATAAAAGACCCTTAACAAGGGGGATAAATACAAGATTTCTATACCTTGGAATAAGACTTCGGTGATAACCACGTCTAATCCGAGTCTTGTTGTGCAATACACCAGTGGACAAGGTGTATTGCCTTCAATGAGTATTGTGCCTCCAAAACAGTGGGCCTGGAATGACTACTCTTTTTACGTTCCAAGCGATGACGTCTTCTTCATAAATGTCAACATTGACACAAGTTCAGTCGTTGGTCTACGAGTGAAGGGCCCATTGTGTAGCCGTGTGCCTTCAAAATGGAAGACTCTTCCAGGAGGACTGATATCTCAAGGTGTGCTTTATTTAAGAAAAAGTCAATTTTACCATATTTATCATGACAACCCCCTTACAAACTTTACAGCCGTTGTGTATGGAATGACTTTTCAAAAGATCTTTTCATTTCCAGCTGGCTTAAGGTGGGAGTTACCCACTGACTCGAGTTGTTTACAAACACCGACAAGAGGAGGAGACAAAATTGATAATGACTGCGATGGTAGAACTGATGAAGAATTAGGCAATGGCAAGGACGATGACAATGATGGTCAAATTGACGAAGACCTGGTCTTAACACCTCCAAGTATTACATTTCCCAAGAACTACATTTCCCCACCACTGTTGTCATGCGATCTATCCTCAGATACAGCGGATCCAGAAAAAGAGGGGTTTTCCCCAAAGGTGGATCTTTATTCGACTCAAGGGCTTTGTTTAGTACGTGGAAATACCACCAATTACCATCAAGACTTTGCTGTAGGTCTCTTTGATCGATGCTATCGTAAATTTGACCGTGTGTGGACCTTTCAAGACGCATGTGGTGGTAATGAAATTAAGCATACACAACACATAAAGATCAGTACCCTAAGCGATCCAATACTCTCCTTTCCATCTGATGTAACCCTCTTCTGTCGAGACAATATCTACCTTCAACCACAATTTACAGGTGAAGTTTCAACCAGGAGACCATTTCCTAAGACATGCAACATTAGCAGGAATGTCAGTATCACTCACAATGATACCTATTATGGTGAATGTTTCAGTAAAGAGGCAAGGCTAGAGCGAGTATGGACTGTGGAAGATAGGTGTCGCAGCGACATTATAAAAACTCAAATAATCAAGTTGGTACCTAAAGGTTAGTTCCAAGGTGTAGGAAAAAGGACAGTTAAGCGATGACGCGCCCGATCAATAAGCTCATCAATAGTTAATTCTAAATCTAACTCACATGACTTAAACGAGAATCATTGCGGTACCTACCCTGTGCACCAGAGATTTTTTCTCGCTTGTGGAAGAATTTGCCAGTTCCACGGGGGCCGCAGACTGATACATTGACCGAAGCCACGAGCGACGAATCTTAAGTTTCGCGAGCGCGTCACTATAAAGACTTTGAACGGAATCGGAAAACTCCGAAATTTTTCTGGCACCCATGGTATGTGGCATCAAGAACTAACTGAGATGATTTTATGGTTCAACAGAAAAGAAGTGCGATTATCTGTTTCCAGGAAAGTGATTTCTTCTCAGAAGCAGTTGCTATGAGGTATTAAAGAATACTGAGACAACACTGTATAAGTCGTCAGAAAACAACGTAATTTTAATAAGGCTGTTATTTCTAAATTGTTTGCCTTCTCTTGCAGGATCAAAAAGGACTGCAAACTATGTGACGAAATTCAGCGTAACTAGCGTTAATTTTTCGGCTGAACTTGGAGATGAAACATCACCATCCTTTAAAGAAATTGCTACTTCTCTAGAAAACAAGGTAGAACGGCCTGAATGTCATGTCAGGTCGTGTAATTCTTTTTGGTACCACCACTACGCAACTTGCCCTGGCTGTCAATAAATCCCCTGCGGTTTATATTTTGTCACCTGCGCTCGACGGACTTTGAAGAGAAAAAAGAGGGTCTAGCCTGTGAAGAGGCTATGCCCAGGCGTCAACGTATCGTAAAGCAATGTTTACATAATAAATCCGATAGTCATGGGGTTCCAGATATAAATTTGTTTGATTTTAATGTTTCTCCTGGTCGATTATGGTAACGTTTTGTGTTCACTCACGAACGAGTACCTGTTTTGAAGTAGATTCATCACTTTTACGACCCTATTCAGTACATTTGACCTTATATTCTTTTTTCATTCTTTGTAGATGGAGAAGGCACTACAGTATTCAAAATTAGGCAATTTTTTCGTAGAAGCAAAGGTTATAACATTTAGGTAGGTTTGGAGGAACTCAAATTATATCGACCGGATTATAGGTCACGCTTAAAGGGGGTCACGTGCCATGTAGCTCAGTGGTGATCATGATAATGATGATGTTGACGATGAGACGATGATGACAAAGAGGTGTCATGGGTAGCGGTTTTAGGACTTTTTCACCTTTTTTGCTACCAAAAGTTTCCTTTGTATAGTAAATGCCTCTCATGCAACTAATATGTATTATTTTATTTTGTATTCTGTAGTAAAGGCAGCCTTGTTACCAGCATGCTCATTAAAGTAGACATGCAGGCGCAATTTGATCAGCAGAGCCTTTTTGACATCATGAATGACACTCTGGGCAGTGGAACATTGGGACAATATCAAGTGGATCCAAGGTCAATTGCTCTAAAAGGTGAATTCTCCCTAATTAGCCTGTTTTTACCTTTAGGAGGCAGCATGGCCGAGTGGTTAGAGCGCTGAACTTGCAAGTCAGAGGCCCCGAGTTCAAGTCCCGCTGTGACCGCTAGCTGGATTTGTTCAGGGTAATCCCGAGTTCAAATCGCCGCCCATTCTTCTAAATAACCATCTTGTTTGCCTCAGGTCAAGTTGGGATTCTTAACCCTGTTACATTTGAATTAGTTTATTTGTTTCAGGCATTTGCTCGGCTCCACTGAGCGATTAGTGCTATAAATACTGCCGAGGGTGAATTATTATTATTATTATTATTATTATTATTATTATTATTATTATTATTATTATTATTATTATTATTATCGTCATCATCATCATCATCAATATTATTATTTTTTGACCGAGAGGGAAAGTATATCAGATGATATCACATCCTCTTTCCACTATACTCTATATCGCATCTTAGCTTCTATCGTTATTTTTGACACGCTTAACCAACATTTGTCATTTCCCTGTATACAAAAACAGACTTTGATGAATGTAAAGATCAGGACCTGAATAAATGCCACGAGAAAGCAAAATGTACCAACACCGGCGGTTCGTACAATTGCACCTGTATCGATGGTTACGTTGGAGATGGCTTTCTTTGTCAAGGTAATGGTTGCTTTTTTTGTTGTCTACTTTATAACTATCTATATGATGGTAAATTAAGTCGTTTTTCCAGAACTCAACAAAGCTTTTCTTACTTCTTCCTCCAGCTCCACCGTCCATTTACTACGCTGATCCACCAAAAGTGTCTGTTACCAAAAAAACCGTAAAACTTACGTGCAATGCAAGTGGTTTGCCTGAGCCGACGTTTTCGTGGATAACACCTGACGGAACCCTGGTAAATTCCACGGTATCAGCTCCGAATTTAGAACACCTTGAAGACAATAGTAGAGTTATAAGAGGGAATATGCTCCAGAACGATGGTTCCCTCTTGATTTTCTACACCCGTGTGGCCGACCAAGGCATGTACAAGTGTATCGCGACTAATATCCTGGGACATGATGTAGGGAAGGTTAATCTTACAGTGAGAGAAGGTGAGATATCCCTTCGGCTGGAGTCGTTGGGGAAGGAAGGTTCGCCCCATGCATGTAAGGGAATCAAAGACAATCTTCAATTTGGACTCTGGATTCCACGCCATGGATTCCGGATTCCAGGTGCTGGATTCCGGTTGATTCTTTGTCAATGGTACTTGGATTCCGGATTCCAATCGTAAGTGGAATTCCAGATTCCTTGAGCTGTATTCCGGATTCTACATCAAAATTTTCCCAGGAATTCGGATTCCCTTATTGACATGTGACAAGAAGGTGACCGGGAATACGAATAAGACCAGTCCACTTCACTATGTCACAAATTAAAAGAAAACTACGGAAAAGAATTTAAATATACTGAAGAAGACAGTAAAGGGAAGAAGTACAGGGAGAAAATCCACGTCGAGATTTTGAGTCACATGCCGTAAATAAAATTGCTCTGTGTGTGAATTTCGAGCGAGTTGGCGCTCATCATAATGAAATTAAAAGTGCGCTTATACATGCTCTCAAGTGCTTAATTTATATTTACATTCAAAATTAGATTACCTAAAAACCATTATTAAGAAACTCTGTATTTCTAAAAACAAATTATATTCGTTTCAGAATCCCTGCACACTCCAAATGGGCTACAGAAGAACCATTCTCTTACATATATCCTGTCAATTGTTGGAGGTGTAATGGCTCTCTGTGGTCTCGTGATAGCCATAATTCTTTACCGAAGAAGAACCCAGAGGAGAAGATATCAGAAATGCAAGTTGCTTTCATTGTTATTGTTTTCGTACTTGTAGAGCTTGTTATAAATAGTCGAATATACATGTAACTAGGAAATAGTTAAACCATACTGGTGCGTGCAATGGCTCCAGTAACTAAAAAATTGCTTCATGTTGTTGAAATGTCAAATGTGAGTGAACATGCTGATTTTCAATGATATAATTTCCTCCTCATCACGCTAAATTTACACACCGTGTTAATTAGGCTTGGATGTTTTTGTTTTTGTTTGTTTTTGTTTTTTTTTTCATTTCTTTCATGTTCTTAAAGCGTTTGTACCCAGTCCCTGCTCGTTAGGACATGGCTTAAAGAATCGAAGTTACTGTTCACTCAGGACTCACTCAGTTCAAATTGTTCATCCATTCTATATAACTTTTATCTTTTTATACTATCAGATCAGTTTGAATTAAAAGACCGAGAGGACTTTCAGTATGACATCTTCGTTACCTTCAGCACCCTCGACTATCCCTGGGTCCGAGACAACCTCGTACCTTTGCTGGAGAGAAAGCAAATCAACTACTGCATTCACAGCCGCGACTTTGTAATTGGAAAAGCGATCCTGGAGAACATGGCGGACAGCGTGTACAACAGCCGAAAGGTGCTTGCTGTCATTTCAGAAAACTATCTGGCCAGCAAATTCTGCCGTCAGGAATTAGATATGGCTTTGTACCGCTCGGTTAGTGTGGCGCCCAATCCCTCACTTTTGTTGATTCGTGTGGATGACGTGGACAAGAAAAAGTTACCTAAGTTGTTACAAAAACAGACCTTCCTAGATTATACAAGTGCCATGGAAAGAAATAAGTGGGAGGAAAGATTGTTGAAACACATTGACATTAGTTTTGTCGAGAAAGATGAAAATCTTCTGGCGAGTGAAATTTCTACTAGATAGCGTGTAGCTTATATTTTGGTGTTGTACTATGAATCACACCTACATGTAGACCCACCTTAAATAAAACTTTTGCATATCCTTCACTCCGAAAATGGAATATTTCAAGAAGTGCACGTTATGAGATGTTTTCCATGCGGGTATTTAACAATTTTTTCTGATAGACTATTAAAGTTTAATCAATAAATTTCCAAGGACAGCGGCGTGCGCGTGATCTTGATAGACCAGAAGTTGAATGAATACTATAGAAATTGTACTCAAAAGAAGACGGAAAGGACAGTCTTTCAGTTAAGATTTAGTAGCATTTCATGATTTAGTGGCTTCAGCTTCGGAACTAAAGTAACGCTATTTGCCTGAGTTGAAAAATTTATGTCCTATTTAGAAAGTAGGATGTAGAAACAAGAATATATTTGCTTGTTTCTTTGCTCATGTTATCCCTACTCTTTTCTATAAACTTGCAAAAGGTACCCCTTATATATAGATCATTATGGGAGTATTGCCTGGGACAGAACATCAAACAACAACAACTTTATTTCTTGTAAGAATATACACGCAGTATAATAATCATTAACAAACTTTAATTTATAAAATAACTAAGATAGTACGCGCGCTCTGATTGGCTGAGAGGAGTGTTTGCATGAGAGTAGGTAAACATGGTTGTGGCGTCAAGATGTTTGCTTTTCGCGCGCTGGTCACGCAAGTACGAATTTGAAAAAAGTTTTCAAGTTCAAAACTCGACAAGTTTACTTTATTTACCCATTCCCTCGTCGGCTGAATCTTGGAAAATCGTTACAAAGAAAACGAGTCTTTTTTTTTCGCTTAAGCTGACATTTTAAGCGAGAAAAGTCCGTATTTTGGAAAGCATCTTTTGACAAAACAAGAACTGATTCCCGGCGCGTGCAAGACTTCGGGGACAAGACTTTGAGACTGGTAAGAATTTCTCTTTTAATCAGTGCCATACAAAGAGTTTTGCGTTTTTCCTCGGGAAATTTATTTTATAAAAGCAATAGAAAACGTTTTCCGAGTTTGCATAGCCTGATATAAACACGAGAGGGGTTGGGAGAATTCGAGACTTCGTCTCGGGTTTGCATAATTGTCTCGAATTCTCCCAGCCCCTCTCGTGTTTATATCAGGCTATGCAAACTCGGAAAACGTTTTCTATTGCTTAATTAATAAACACAACTTTATTAACAAGATTATCCCTGGATTATCCAATAAAAGATTACAGTATAGAGTGTT